GTGCTACAATGTTTATATATAAGCAGCACATAAACAGTAACAAGAAAGGCTGTTAACCTGTGAACTTTTAGACGACAGCAATTTCTCAATATTTAAACTTATCAGATTGATGTAGAAAACAGAAACTACATGAGACAAAACAGAAACTATACTTCCAGACCAGTACACCCTGCCCTTACTATGAAATCACATTCTCTCACAGATTAACTCCCTCTCTATATTCCGCTCACAATCATATACCCTCACCCTCTCCATCATTCTATTTTTCTCCCTCCCTTTCTCACCCTTTCACCCTATCATAACACCCTTAACCACCTACCACCTAATACCCCTTCTGCTTCGTGTTAAGTCCCTATGAGAAAATTGGGTTAGTAGATGAATTCGATATTATAAGATGTACCAGATATGGAAGATCTTAAGTTTTAGAAATGTGAAGGAAATTTAGAACTGATTGATATCAAACATAAATATATGAACCTGAGCCACTTTTAGAAATGTAGTCTTATTTTCTACACATAATGGTCATCATAGCATTCGTACAAAAGATTAACAGCCAACGTTACAGAAAGCCAAATTGTGTAATGTAAATTTGAAAATAGAATGCTGTTTTGATTGATAAACATTATGGAGGCCAAAAAGTATATATCCCACTCTTAATTTGAAGTGTTTTTGGTGTGTTGATTACAAAATATGTTGAAAAAAATGAAAAAAACATAAATGAAAATTGCCAAATGGTATAAATCCAAATAGTTCAAAAACACATAAAACAAAAAGCCAAATGAAAAATGCCAAAGTTTAAAAATGCCAAATGGTATTAAAAATACCTGTCTGCTTGTACTAGCCAGCCGGCCTGTGGGTTAGCTGGACTTTAAGGTGCTAGTTCACCAAGACAAATGCCCACAGTAGGTCACCTATCTTTTCCTTTTGGAGTACCAGTTTTTAAGTCTTTGATTTGACTTGGGGCTCAACATTTAACTAAAAAAGACAAAAAAAAAAGGTCTCCTGTATAAATTAAAAATTTGGTCTTAAAAGTAAAATATTCCCTTTGTCCCCCACACCCAAATGGATAAAATAATGTAAAAAGTCTCTCATTTCCCAAATAATCATAAAATGACCTGCCTCAACTTATAAATTAGGATAAAAACAGTAAAATATCTCCAATTAAAATTTAGATAAAAACAGTAAAATATCCCTAATTAAAATTTAAAAACAATAAAATATCCGATTAAAATTTGGATAAATGCAGAAAAATATCCCCAATTAAAATTTGGATACAAACAGTAAAATATCCCTCAATTAAAATTTGGATACAAACAGTAAAATATCCCCAATTAAAATTTGGATAAAAACAGTAAAATATCCCCAATTAAAATTTGGATAAAAACAAATAAAATACTTTTTTCCCCTTAAAAGCATGTTACAGAGATTCACATGCAGACTGAGCTACCTCGCTCTCAGTTTGTTCCAGTAAAAACAGTAAAATATCCCCAATTAAAATTTGGATAAAATAAAATATCCCCAATTAAAATTTGGATAAAACTGTAAAATATCCCCAATTAAAATTTGGATAAAACAGTAAAATATCCCCAATTAAAATTTGGATAAAACAGTAAAATATCCCCAATTAAAATTTGGATAAAAACAAATAAAATACTTTTTTCCCCTTAAAAGCATGTAACAGAGCTTCACATGCAGACTCACCTCACTCACAGAGCCACCTCACTCTCAGTTTGTTCCAGTAAAAACAATAAAAATATCCCCAATTAAAATTTGGATAAAAACAGTAAAATATTCCAAATTAAAATTTGGATAAAAACAGTAAAATATCCCCAATTAAAATTTGGATAAAAACAAATAAAATACTTTTTCCCCTTAAAAGCATGTTACAGAGCTTCACATGCAGACTGAGCCACCTCACTCTCAGTTTGTTCCAGTAAAAACAATAAAATATCCCCAATTAAAATTTGGATAAAAACAGTAAAATATCCCCAATTAAAATTTGCATAAAAACAAATAAAATACTTTTTTCCCCTTAAAAGCATGTTACAGAGCTTCACATGCAGACTGAGCCACCTCACTCTCAGTTTGTTCCAGTAAAAACAGTGAAATATCCCCAATTAAAATTTGGATAAAATAAAATATCCCCAATTAAAATTTGGATAAATTAAAATATCCCCAATTAAAATTTGGATAAAAACAGTAAAATATCCCCAATCAAAATTTGGATAAAAACAGTAAAATATCCCCAATTAAAATTTGCATAAAATCAAATAAAATACTTTTTCCCCTTAAAAGCATGTTACAGAGCTTCACATGCAGACTGAGCCCATCACTCTCAGTTTGTTCCAGTAAAAACAATAAAATATCCCCAATTAAAATTTGGATAAAAACAGTAAAATATCCCCAATTAAAATTTGGATAAAAACAAATAAAATACTTTTTTCCCCTTAAAAGCATGTTACAGAGCTTCACATGCAGACTGAGCCACCTCACTCTGTTTGTTCCAGTAAAAACAGTAAAATATCCCCAATTAAAATTTGGATAAAAACAGTAAAATATCCCCAATTAAAATTTGGATAAAAACAAATAAAATACTTTTTTCCCCTTAAAAGCATGTTACAGAGCTTCACATGCAGACTGAGCCACCTCACTCTGTTTGTTCCAGTAAAAACAGTAAAATATCCCCAATTAAAATTTGGATAAAAACAGTAAAATATCCCCAGTTAAAATTTGGATTAAAACAGTAAAATATCCCCAATTAAAATTTGGATAAAAACAGTAAAATATCTGGATAAAAACAAATAAAATACTTGTTCCCCTAAAAAGCATGTTACAGAGCTTCACATGCAGACTGAGCCACCTCACTCTCAGTTTGTTCAGTAAAAACAATAAAATATCCCCAATTAAAATTTGGATAAAAACAGTAAAATATCCCCAATTAAAATTTGCATAAAAACAAATAAAATACTTTTTTCCCCTTAAAAGCATGTTACAGAGCTTCACATGCAGGCTGAGCCACCTCACTCTGTTTTTTCTAGTAAAAACAATAAAATATCCCCAATTAAAATTTGGATAAAAACAGTAAAATATCCCCAATTAAAATTTGGATAAAAACAAATAAAATACTTTTTTCCCCTTAAAAGCATGTTACAGAGCTTCACATGCAGGCTGAGCCACCTCACTCTCAGTTTGTTCCGGTAAAAACAATAAAATATCCCCAATTAAAATTTGGATAAAAACAAATAAAATACTTTTTACAATTAAAAGCATGTTACAGAGCTTCACATGCAGACTGAGCCACCTCTCTCTCAGTTTGTGCCAGGAATGGCAAAAAATATTTTGACTGAGCCATCGCACATCAGTCAAACTGAGCCACCTCACTCCCAGTTTAACGTACCAGTAAGAATGGATACTTGATACGTATGATCGGGGGACGTTCCTATACCTAAAAGGGAGGTATAGTATCTGTGAACCCCAAACACAGAGCGCGGCTTAACTTCGTCATACGTATACACAAGTATCCAATGCTAACTGATACATAACGTTGTCATGTTTTTCATGTCAGTCACTGAAAATAATTTTTATGTTACAACTGAAATAATAACAAAAACCTTGATTCCAAGTTGCCTGTGGTAAGAAGTGAAATAATATCAAAAACCTTTATTCCAAGTTACCTGTGTTAAGAAGTGAAATAACCTCTCTGTAAAATATATCTAGTTTTGAAATTCTTGATGGTTTTCTTAAGGATTGAAGAACATGTGGCATTCCGGTAAACACAGTGTGACAGCAACTCAACTATAAAGTTAAACCAGAAAGATATGAAAATGTAAAAAGACAATCTTTCAATCAGTTTAATTGAGGTCTGGAGCTGGCATGTCAGTAACTGCTAGTAGTCTGTTGTTATTTATGTATTATTGTCATTTTGTTTATTTTCTTTTGTTTCATATTCTGACATCGAACTCAGACAACTCTTAAACTGAGTTTCACTGTGCGTATTTTTGTGCGATTTTTTTTTCTACATTGGCTAGAGGTATAAGGGGAGAGTTGAGATCTCCAAAAAACATGTTTAACCCCGCCACAATTTTGTGCCTGTCCCAAGTCAGGAGCCTCTGGCCTTTGTTACTCTTGTATGATTTTCAATTGTAGTTTCTTGTGTATAATTAGGAGTTTAGTATGATGTCCATTATCACTGAACTAGTATATATGTTTAGGGGCCAGCTGAAGGACGCATTAGGGTGCGGGAGTTTCTAGCTGCATTCAAGACCCATTAGTGGCCTTCAGCTGTTGTCTGCTCTATGGTCGAGTTGTTGTCTCTTTGACACATTCCCCATTTCCATTATCAATTTTAGTCTTTAATCATTACTTTTTCAAATTATGACTTGGATTGAGAGTTGCCTCATTGGCACTCATACCACATATTCTTATATCTATTTAACAATGAATTGTTCTTAGGTGGAAAGTCATTTTACTATATTTATTTGAATTTCAAGATATCTCATATAATATATAAGATATGTTATATAATATATAAGATATCTAATATATGATATCTTATTTAATGTATAAGATATCTTATTTAATATATAAGATAGCATATAATTTCATTTTTATACATTATGTTATATATCAAATGAGATATCTTATATATTATATAAGATATCTCATAAAGTATACAAGATATATTACATACTTTATAAGATATCTTCTGAATTTTATAAGATATCTCATATAGTTTAAAAGATATTTTATAAATTTTATGAGATATCTTAAAAACTATATGAGATATCTTATAAACTATATAAGATATCTTATATAATATGTGAGATATCTTATAAAATTATATGAGATATCTTATATAGTTAATGAGATATCTTATATAGTTTATTAGATATCTTATATAGTTTATTAGATATTTTATAAGATATCATTGGCATTTAAGGATAGTTACTCTCATTGGCAACCCTTCCATATATCCTTATTTTTTATATGGTTGAGAGATAAATGTAGTTTCCTGTGTGTATAACTGTGCATTGAGTTGCACTTTCAGGCTAAAAATAGACTTGATAAATTTCTGGCAGCACATCTATCAAGAATTAGCATATGACAATTTATTCTGTTATAAGTTTCAAGAAAGAAAATACAAATTTGTCTATCTTTTATGTTGTTTTTGTTTATTCTAAACATATAAAACATTTTCATAATTCATTTAAATGAGCAAAAATTCTTCAATTCATACCAAGAATGTACCGTTTTAAACAAATTCTACTGAAATCTGAAGAATACCGTACATTAGTTCTTCAGTCTTTAATTGCATACAAATGTTTGTCACAGACTAGTATCTGCCTTGTAAGTGTTCATATGAAAAATACCACATTTAGGTCATACAAATGCTAGTCCAGATAACATCCATGTAGTCTTTGAATTGTTTGATTATTGTCTCATTTCTGTTAAGGATTCACTTCTAATAAAATTGACCTTATTCAAAGATGACGTGTTGACAACTCCTCTTCAACCAAATTGCTTGTTCTGAACTTCTCTCAACATACTGAAAAGTAAAAATAACATTTATTATCCCTAAAGTATGCGTTTAAGTTTAATCAGCCATTCATATGTAAAGTTTAGTTTAATCAATTTTGAATAATTGGTAAATGATTATAAAAAAGATGTGGAATGATTGCCAATGAGACAAATCTCAACAAGAGACCAAATGGCACAGAAATAAACTACTTTAAGTCACAGAACATGGTCATAGATAAAAGGCTCCAAAATTACCATAGTAAAATAATTCAAACAAGAAAACTAATGGCCTGATATAAGTACAAAACTAGAGGCTCTAAAGAGCCTGTGTCGCTCACCTTGGTCTATGTTCATACTAAACAAAGGACATACATAATAGATGAGAATAGAATTCATGACAAAATTATGTTTTGGTGATGATGATGTGTTTGTCAATCTTACTTTACTGAACATTCTTGCTGTTTCGATTTTCTCTATCTATAATGAACTTGGCTCAGTAGTTTCAAAGGAAAATATTTTGTAAAAGTTTACAAAAATTTACATAATTTACGAAAATTGTTTAAAATTTACTATAAAAAGCAATAACTCCTTATTGACCGTTTTGGTCAAGTTGACTTATTTGTAGAACTTACTTTGCTATACATAATTGCTGTTTACAGTTTATCTGTATCTAAGATAATATTGAAGATAATAACCAAAAACTGCAAAATTTTCTTAAAATTACCAATTCAGGGGCAGGAACCCAACAACAGGTTGCCTGATTTGTCTGAAAATTTCAGGGCAGTTAGATCTTGACTTAATGAACATATTTTAATGAATGAGATTTGCTCTAAATGCTTTGAATTCAGAGATATTAGCCAAATATTGCATTTTACCCCTATATACTATTTTTAGCCATGTCGGCCATCTTGGTTTGTGGACGGGGTCATTGGACACATTTTTAAAACTACATACCCTTAAGATGATGATTGCCAAGTTTGGTTAAATTTGTCAAAGTAGTTTCAGAGGAGAAGATTTTTTTACAAGATTACTAAAATTTTTGAAAAATGGTTAAAAATTGACTATAAAGGGCAATAACTCCTTAAGGGGTCAACTGACAATTTAGGTCATGTTGACTTATTTGTAGATCTTACTTTGCTGAACATTATTGCTGTTTTCAGTTTATCTCTATCTATAATAATATTCAAGATTATAACCAAAAACTGCAAAATTTCCTTAAAATTACTAAATCGGGGGCAGCAACCCAACAACAGGGTGTCCGATTTGTCTGAAAATTTCAGGGCAGATAGATCTTGACCTGATAAACAGTTTTACCCCAGTCAGATTTGCTCTAAATGCTTTGGTTTCAGAGATATAAGCCAAAATCTACATTTTACCCCTATGTTCTATTTTTAGCCATGTCGGCCATCTTGGTTTGTGGATGGGGTCATTGGACACATTTTTAAAACTACATACCCTTAAGATGATGATTGCCTAGTTTGGTTAAATTTGTCAAAGTAGTTTCAGAGGAGAAGATTTTTTAAAAGATTACTAAAATTTTTGAAAAATGGTTAAAAATTTACTATAAAGGGCAATAACTCCTTAAGGGGTCAACTGACAATTTAGGTCATGTTGACTTATTTGTAGATCTTACTTTGCTGAACATTATTGCTGTTTTCAGTTTATCTCTATCTATAATAATATTCAAGATTATAACCAAAAACTGCAAAATTTCCTTAAAATTACTAAATCGGGGGCAGCAACCCAACAACAGGGTGTCCGATTTGTCTGAAAATTTCAGGGCAGATAGATCTTGACCTGATAAACAGTTTTACCCCAGTCAGATTTGCTCTAAATGCTTTGGTTTCAGAGATATAAGCCAAAATCTACATTTTACCCCTATGTTCTATTTTTAGCCATGGTGGCCATCTTGGTTAGTTGGCCGTGTCATCGCACACATTTTTTAAACTAGATACCCCAATGATGATTGTGGCCAAGTTTGGTTAAATTTGGACTAGTAGTTTCAGAGGAGAAGATTTTTGTAAAAGTTTACGGACAACGGACAACAGACGACGGACGCCAAGTGATGAGAAAAGCTCACTTGGCCCTTCGGGCCAGGTGAGCTAAAAATAGGCACGTAAACACTGAGATTACTATATAATAATACTATGCTTTGGGGTAGACAACAACCTGAACCATTGATCTTTTGATTCTTAAACCTTCACCCCAGTCACACAAACACACACACAGTCGATGCCTAATGCAGAAGTTCTGTTCTGTTCATACTATCGTAACAATATTCAAGAAATTCATATTTTCTTATATCCTCTACTGTAAAATCCCTACCTGCTTAGGAATTTGAATTAATGTGGTCATTACACGCAGATCTGAGATTACTGGAAGATAGTTGATTGATTTATTGCTAAACATCCAGTGGCAAATAGTTTTGCATGATCAGGACAAAAACAAATTTACGATACTAGTAAATACAACAGTTAGCCACTAGGTCCTGTAATAGGGGTTGTCCAGGATGAAGGTCTGAACTTTTGAAAATGCCATTGGAAAATTAGGGTTTATTGATCTTTATTGGATATATATATAGGGACAGATATTTTGCCTTTCAGCAGACCCCTCAAAGAGTTGTTGCAAGTGTTATTAGCGTGCACAGAGCAAGGCGAAAATTTATTTGGACTATTTTAAGCTTAAGGCCCACAGAGGGTGAAGGGAAACGATTTTCAACTTTTTCGAACGAATCTTTTAACTCATTGGGGAAAAATTGGTTAATCAAATCTAAAATTTCTGAACTTTTAATTATGAATAACTTTCAGATCCAGTTTCATACACAAAGTCAATGATACACTTATTCAAAGTCAAGTCAACGTTTTTTTTCTGCCAATAATATCAGTTATACTCTCATCAACATCAACATTGAGGTGTGGGTGGGTATGAAGAAGGGATAGATTAGAAAGTCGCTCATCTCCGATCTCAGGTAGGACTTGATGCGTCGCATCGCACGGAAGGATCTTTCACTAGTTGCCGATGAAACGGGCATTGTCAATAAAATCAAAATAATCCTATGCACCGAAGGGTACAGATCGGTGTTTGAATACGGACGGGCACCGTATAAATAATAATACGCATTAGAATTACAATGTGTATTTTTTTTTTTTATTCCAAAGGGGTATATAATTGGCAAATTTATGTATAGGCACATGCCTAGTCGAGCCTTAGGTAGCTACGCCACTGAATGTGGCAGCCAAGCGATGCATTTACTAATAAACTGTTTTCACAGAGATATGTCTCTCCTTTTTGTAATTTTGATAATGCAAATGTTGAAATTAAAATAGCAATACTTTAACATGTAAGTTATGCAAATATTCAAAGTCAATGAACCATGACTGAAGGTACATGGCTAAACAATCTCCATGGAATGAGATGTGCCAATGCTAATACAACTGCATACCAAATACCATTGACTTATTATAAGGTGTTCCCTTTAAACAAACTTAAAACAAACATTAACTTGTAAACTATGTAAAAGTTTCAAAGTCAGTGAACCATGATCAGAGATGGGGCTATATAATCTCCATGGAAACAATACTTGCAAATGCCAATACATTTGCATACCAAATATCATTGACTTAACATTAGCAGTTCATCTTAAACTGATCTAATCACAAACTAATACATGTAAACTAAGCAAAAGTTTCAAAGTCAATAGACCATGACTGAGGGGGCAGGGCCAAATATTCTCCATGGAAATGAGATGTGTTAATGCTTATACAACTGAACACCAATTAACATTGGCCTACCACTAATGGTTACCCTTGAACTGACTTAATCACAAACTACAATGTAATACATGTTAACATAGCAAAATTCTCAAAGTCTATAGACCATGACTAAGGGGGCGGAGCCAAATAATCTCCATGGAAATGAGATATGCCAATGCTTATACAACTGCATACCAAATATCATTGACCTACCACTACTGGTACCCCATAAATTGACCTAATCACAAACTAATACATGTAAACTATGAAAAGTTTCAAAGTCAATAGACCTTGACTGAGGGGGCGGGGCCAAATAATCTCCATGGTAATGAGATGTGCCAATGCTAATACATCAGCATACCAAATATCATTGACCCTCCACTAGTGGTTCACCATGAACTAGACCTAATCACAAACTAATACATTGTTGACGCCGCTGACGCCGGAAACAGCATACCTGTGTCTTGCTTTTTGACTCAGTCAAGGCGAGACAAAAATGAGTGCAAATGATTGGCATAAAAGACTAACATTGTTAGACATAATGAATAATATACAGAATTCAATATTTCACAAGGAACAACCATGGAATTAAGGAAAACTGGGTAGCAACGTTCAAGTGCCCGGTATATGGTTTAGCAAAAATTAACACCCAGCGGCTATGGGTTTTGTAACCACGTGTGTTAAACAATCAAAATCCTAGAAGTATACTGAGCCAGGGATAACTTCTTATATAGATATAGGAAGATGTGGTATGAGTGCCAATGAGACAACTCTCCATCCAAGTTACAATTTATAAAAGTAAACCATTATAGGTCAAGGTATGGCCTTCAACACGGAGCATTGGCTCACACCGAACAGCAAGCTATAAAGGGCCCCAAAAAATTACTAGTGTAAAACCATTCAAACGGAAAAACCAACGGTCTAGTCTATATTAAAACGAGAAACGAGAAACACGTATGAACTACATAAACAGACGACAACTACTGTAATCAGATTCCTGACTTAGGACAGGTGCAAACATTTGCAGCGGGATTAAATGTTTTAATGGTACCAAACCTTCTCCCTTTTCTGAAACAATAGTATAATATCACAACATAGAAAAACACACTATAAAATATCAATTGGAAGGCTTAACTCAATTAAAAAACGTAAATTCACACATAATGAACGAATAAATTTGACCTGTGACACCTGAATGCAAATACACAGTTAATAAAAAATTACAAGGGATAAATAATTAAAGTCAAAAGTAAATAAACAGGGCCACACTTAAAAATATTTTGGTTTGCCCAAACCCTACCCAAAGGTAGAGACAGTGGGTAGGTAGGTAGGCATTTTCTTTTCTTTTTTCGGCAACGAGAAATTAAAGTGTCAGATGTTTTTTTATAATATTTATGCCTATCTAATTAAAAAAAAACTGTTTCACATCAGGACAATAAAAGATTTTGAGTAGGCAGCTATTTTCTGGGTAGGTAGGGTTAGGGCAAACACACATATTCTTTTTTATGGCCCAGATTTAAACAAAGTTAAAGTATGATATCACTGTTATATCTATTTACAGGCTAGTGATACAGCAGTTTCACTACTTACACCATTCAGCCACCGAGGCCCCATTATGGCAGATCCAGGGGAGGGTTGCTGGGGTTGGAACCCCCCCTTTTTTTAACAATCAATGCATTTGAGGTCATATAGTTCTCTTACTTTAGATTGCCTTAACTAAATGGTATGAAAGTTATAATACACAATACTTATTACCAAAAAACTCAGTTCAAGTACAAATTTGGGTAGCATCACTTTTACCATTCTTCATGATCAGTTATGTCCCTTTATGCCAATATGTTTTTTCAGTAAAATACAAATCTATACAGTAGGGTCAAAATATTGACCCTAGAAACTGATGAGTATAATACCAGGTAAAATATGGAATTTATGAATATTAGTCCAATAGTCCATGTAGAATATGGAAAATGAATAAAAAAAATATATCTTGAAGTTACTCCTGAATTTCAAATGGCAATTGTTCATAAAACATGTAAACCATAATGCCAAAGAAGTATAAGACCTATGTCTTCTTTTTGTTTGTGACAATGCAAACATTCTATAGCCAATGTCAATGAATTAAGACTGAGATGTAGGGTTAAATAATTTCCATGAAGACAAGAAATGCCAATACTAATCATTCTTATACAATTTTATACCAAAACTACCATTCATTGACTAAAATTTATAAGCGGTTCCCTCTAAACTGGATAAAGCACAAACTTGAACCTATATTAAATTTTTAATTACATTTTTCTGATACTAACTTTTCATAGATTATGAACTATGATGAGGGAACAGTACAATATAATTTCCATAGAAATGAGATGAGCAAATGCTTATAGCATGTATAGGATTGCATACCAATATATTTAACAGAAAAATTTCGATCTGATCTGGAAATTTGAGTGATAATACAAGAACGCAAATGTTTCTATTTCTATTCAATAACTGGTCGTCTCCTGTGTAACAACTTTTTATATGAAGAATCTGCAGATGGTTTGTTGCAAAGCAAATTTTATTGCCACCACCACCTATCTTTTGTCCATAGTTCCTCCCCTCTCCAACAATTTTTACAAAATTTTTAGAAGCTACTTAAGTTATTTACATCTATTAACATTTTATATCATCTTGAATATGCATTAAACATTTGCCACATAACAGTAATTAAACAAGCAATATCTAAGCAGATGTATAGCTGAAGATATGGTATGGGTTTTGCTCATTGTTGAAAGCCATAGTAACATACCATTGCTTAAATCTGCAATATTTGGACTCTCAGGGATAGTTGTCTCATTGGCAATCATAGTACCACATCTTTTTTATTTATGACTATTGATAAAAATCAACCGATCAAGTCTCCTACCTGTAAACTTGGATTAAATCTTCTGTGATGAATGACCTCTCCTTTATATCAATTTCAAAATTCATAACTGCTTCTCCTTATGTCAATCATTGGCTCTCTTCAAATATCCTTTCTATGCATTTAACCATGAAGATTCTTCATTTGATTCATTTACTAATACAAATTTCCTGCAAAACATAAAAACATGTCAATTAGGATAAACAAATAGGCATATTATTTTTAGAATATTTATACAAAACTGAGTAGTTGTGGTAGTATAATAAAAATAAACACATCAGATACTGACCCTGCAATATTAATAATCAGTACAAAGAAAGATAACTCTGTTCATTTAAGATGACAATATCAACGAGATGGCTCTAGGGAGTGTGTTGGTTTGTGCAAACTTGTCATATAAGGGCAATTACAATTTTGGCAAAATTTGACATATTTGTAGATCTTGTCTTGCTGATCATTTTTGCTATTAAAGTGGCTTTCTATCTATAATAGTTAAATGTAAATTATTATTATTGTTTTTCAGAAAAGGAAAAAAAAATGATAAAAGTCATCATTAAACAGTCAATAACTCTAATAATGAGTAGTTTTAAATTTCGTTCAAGTTTGACTTGTTTGTAGATATTGTCTTGTTGATCATTTTTGCAATTTGAAGTTTCTTTAAGCTATAATGTTTCCAGGGGCGGATCCAGCAATTTCAAAAGGGGGGGGAGGGGGTCCCAACCCAGGATAAAAAGGGGGAGGGGGTTTCCAACCATATGTCCCCATTCATTTACATTAAATGTCCAAAAAAAAGGGGGGGGGGGGGGTCCAATACATAATTACTTTTAATTTTTTTGGCAATAACCGAGATATTCAAATATTGTTTGGCATAAATTCTTATAAAATGATTATTTAGACTTATCTGATTGAACCAATATTTTATAAATATGTGCTTTTGTGTTTCACAATAATCTTTCATTTGAACCTTTTATTCTGAAATCATTCATTTGAACCTTTTATTCTGAAATCATTCATTTTGACCATTCATACAAAATCATTAATGTAATACATTCATATCAGTATATTAGAAGGCATGTGAGGTATTAATTATGGAACACTGACCTTATTTGAAAAAAAATCAAAGATGTCCATCAAATTTGAATAAAATTATATAAGGAACAGCACAGCTCCAATCAGTTCAAAATATAAGTAAAGTCTGACTAAACAAAAGAATTTCCCTCCTAAATCGACACATGACTTAATGAACCAATTATCATAAAGGAGATAGAGTTTTCATAGCACAAACTAGTTAAACCTAGAGAGTAAACTAATACTCAATGGATCAAAATTCACTGAGCCATGAAGAAAGAAGTCTTACAATAAATAAAACCACTGATGCATGACTAGAAACTACTCATTAATTACTTAGAATTAAATTTACTAAAATCTGATGTAAAATATAAAAATATCAAAGTATGATACACAAAACAGTATCCAAATTAACATACTACATGTAGTTACCATGGTTACTTGTTTGATTAACATTCAGTGGCAATAACATTTAAATGGAGTACTTCTGAGTTTCCCCCAAAAAAAAACCAAACATTTTCTTTTGAATATTAAAAAAAATATCTGAAGATTTTGTTTTGGTGATTATTTTGTGAATCTTGTCCTCATAATTATTTCTGCTCTGAATTTTTTTATTGCCCCTGCCGCAGTTGAGGGGGCATTAAGTTTTACCCTTGTCTGTCTGTACGTACGTACGTCCCAAAATTGGTTTCGGTTTTCTAACTTTAGTTTGCCTCAACCAAATGTTATGAAACTTGAACACAATGCTTATTACCACAAAACACAAGACAAGTTTGAATTTTGGTGGCATCACTTTTACCATTCAAGAGTTATGCTCCTTTACAAATGAAAAAAAATGCTGAATTTTTTGTTCCGTTCTCCCACTTCAGTTTGACTCAACCAAGTGTGAGTTTTGGTGGCGTCACTTTTACCGTTCAAAAGTTATGTTTTTTTTACAAATAGAAAAGTTGCTGAATTTTTTGTTTCCAACTTCAGTTTGTCTCAACTAAATGTTATGAAATGTATATATAATGCTTATTACCACAAAACTCAGTTTAAGTTCAAATTTTGGTAGCGTCACTTATACAGTTAGTGAGTTATGTCCCTTTATAACGTTATATGCTAGCGGGGACATCATCTGAGTCCCTATGGACACATTCCCCATTTATTTTATCTTTTATGCATTTGATTTGTTTTATTGTCTCATACAAGAATATATATGGTATCGGGTTGGGGATCTTGACCATTTACAAGTTTTCAAAAAGAAGGGGGGTGGGGGTTACCCCAGGGGACTTTCCCTCAATTTCATTTGATTTGTTTTAATGTCCCATTCAAGAATATGTATGGTTCAGGGGTGGGGATCACGACCGTTTACAGGTTATCAAAAAGAAGGGGGTGGGGGTTACCACCAGTAACAAAACACCAAAATAATTCTCTAAAATTAGATATGACTTAACCACTCATAAATCTCTAAAATTAGATATGATTTTATATCTATCAATTAAACACATCATTTTTCAAAACAAATAACTCAAACTTATTTACATAAACCAATAAAAAACCAGCAAAATACTTCTCTAAAATCAGATATCATGTTATATCTATTTCCATATATATTATAACCAAATTTAATTAATAGTGGTTAATATTGTTTCTTTCATGTGTCAAAAAATAATACAGATCTGCAACTTATCAATGTCAAAAACTTTATCTCATAATAAAAATAGATTATTATCTAATTAAAAACAAGTTTAGATAACCCTATATATATTTAATTTATGTTCAAATATAACACACAAAAACTGATAAATTTTCCCAGGGGACCTGCCCTTTATTTCATTTGATTTGTTTTTTTGTCCCATACAAGGATATATATGGTTTAGGGGCGGGGATCTCAACCATTTACAAGTTCTTAAACAGGAAGAAGGTGGGAATGACCCCAAGGAACTCACCTTTTATTTCATTTCATTTGTTTTATTGTAACATACAAGAATATATATGGTTTCGCGGTTGGGATCTTGACCATTTACAAGTTCTCAAAAAAAGGAGAGTAGGGATTACCCCAGGGGACTTCCCCTAAATTTAATTTGCTTTATTTTATTGTCCCATACAAGTACATATATGGTTTAGGGGTGGGGATCTCAACCGTTTACAAGTTTTCAAAAAGAAGGGGGTAGGGTTTACCCCCGTGGACTTCCCCTATATTTCATTTGATTTGATATATTGTCCCATACAAGAATATATATGGTTTCTGGGTGGGAATCTTGACCGTTTACAAGTTATCAAAAAAAAGGGGGGTAGGGGTTACCCCAATGGACTTCCCCTATATTTCAATCAGAAAACAGTAAATTTTCAAATAAATCTGTCACTCCAATGATTATCATATGCTGAAATATTTCAAAGATCTAATTAATAATGAAAATAAATCATTATCATATGCTGAAATATTTATAATATCTAATTGAACAGAACTATGGTTGTTTAACATAGTACTCTAACGTAATTAATAATGTAATAATCTTCAAAATGTCTAATGATATAGCTTATAATCATTACCACTTAGGAAATAGATAATTTTCAAATAAATCTGTCACTCCAATTTTTATTCTGAGGTAAGACAAATCATAAAAAGATAACAACAGTAAAATATTTAAAAATTCTACTTTTGGATATTAAAAATGAAGATAACTCAAGGAGATATACTAAAATCTTGAAAATTAATAGAGACCTTCATTAAGTCAAAGGAAACAACATATTTAAATTTGAAAAAAATTTGTTAAAGCGTTTTCATGTTATTGTGCGGACGCTGTTTGGCAGCTGCCAGAGCCGCCCTGAACCGCCCTGAGCCACCCGCCGTATATAACCATTTTAATAACCGATATTTCCTTCAAAAATCCGGTTAAAAATGAACGAATAACAAATATGTAACACATAAACAAACAACAACCACTGAATTACAGGCTCCTGACTTGGGACAGGCACACACATACAGAATGTGGCGGGTTAAACATGTTAGCGGGATCCCAACCCTCCCCCTAACCTGGGACAGTACAATATAAGAAGGAACTATAAAAATCAGTTGAAAGAGGCTTAACTCATCAGATGGATAAAATACAAATACTACAAATACAAGTGGACATGGCCGGGAAGTTGTACATCCAAACAACAAAAAGACACTAAGTACAGATCTGAGAGTACTCGCAGTTGCTGACAGCTAGTTCAAAGCCACTAACAACTAATAAAAAAAAATCATGCATCTAAGACTAAATTATCAATCCGTACACATCCAACATCCAATGGATTTAGTGTAAAGACGTCATAAACAGTCAGAGAAAAACATGACCTTGTGCAATTCTATGATACAGGTATCGACAGATTGTAGATCCATGAATGTGTATATGTATATAACAATAATATTTAGTTTGCTTTTAATTTACTGATAACAAAATCAATATCAGTACCAATAAAAACGATATTTAATGATCTAATTACAGTGTTGAATTGGTAACCTTTAAGAATAAGTTTATTTAAAGGATTGATAAGTTTACCAGGATCGTTTCTAAATATCCGGGCACGGTAAACAATATTGCCGTAAAAATGAGGATGTGCAATCCCGTTTGAAATAAGTTTTCTACAGGTACAACCAAACTTCAAAACCAAATCTTTATATCTGTGGAAGAATTTAGTAAAGGTTTTAAGTAATTTGTGGTAACGAAATCCCTGGCTTCATAATTTACCAGTAATACATAGATTACGTTCGTTAAAATCAAAAACGTCACAACAGACACAGGCATAGCAAACGAGTTGTGAAATATAAACACCGTAAGATGGTGCCAAAGGAACATCACCATCCAAAAAGGGTGCAAAAATTAACAATAGGGAACGAAAAGTCGTCCCTTTTGTCGTAAATTTTAGTGTGGAGTTTCCCGTGTAAAACCGAAATATCTAATTCTAGGAAAGGACAGTTGTTACCGCTTAAATTTGATTTATTTAAAGTAAGTTCCTTTGGGTAAATTTTGGCAGTATATTGAGAAATTTCTTGATTATTTAACGAAAAAATATCATCAAGATAACGGTAAGTGTTGTTGAATTTATCCATAAAATGCAATTTAGACGGGTCTTTACTGAGTTTGGTCATAAACTGTGATTCATAACAGTACAGAAACAAGTCTGCTATTAAAGGGGCGCAATTAGTGCCCATAGGAATACCTACAACATGTCGATAAACTTTGTTGCCGAAACGACTGTAAAACATATCAATTTTTTCCCTTATAAACATGATAAATGAGTGGGCAAGTATTCAGTTGTTTTATCTGCTGTGGGAGTGATCAACAGTGTAGACCAATGTGTGCATAATTTGCATTCTAGCATTAAGTCCAATAATTTCATTCCTCTGGTAATTCTGTTCATTTCCAATTAAAATAATGTTACATAAACAGACTAATTAAGCAACTAGCACTTCTTATCATACTATCTGAGGGGGCATATTGCAGGTTTTGTTTCAATGGGATTGCACTCTATTTTTTTAACAGTGAGACTAGTATTTGCATTTTTTATCATATATTATTAACGGGGAAAGTTTCAGGTAAGAATTCGACACAATAAAACTCCTTTTCATCAGTGAGGAAAGTTTGTTGGTTTGAGTCAGGTGCAGTACAAATTTATTAAACAAATTCTTATTCAGCTGATAGAAGGGGAAGGGGGAAGAGTCTTTCATGATGAATCAATGTAAAAAAATCTTGCCAAATGGGGATAACAGTAATTTTTGATACATGACGATAAAATGTACAATTTCTATATGACTATAAAAAAAATAGACTATACAGGGGGTTCGTATCCTCCAAGGCCAAACAAAAAAGTATGTGTGTTTACTGTACCCCTACCTACCCTAATTTTATCCCCTACCCTCATGTTTTTTTTGCCATTTTTGATTAAGCACTGTTAAAGTTGAAATGTTGCTCCCATAGACTCAATGTAAAAAATATTAAAAATTTTTAAAAATCCCTACCTACAAAGGCTACATGTACATTGTACCTACTATATTTTTTTTCAGTATGTAACAGTAAACACACATACTTTTTTGTTTGGCCTTTATATATGAATATTACACATGTACTGCATAATGTATCATGTTTGTTGCTTTTGTTTTGTATGTATCATTCATAATTGTTATCTGTATCTGTAGCTTTATACAACGGGGTGCTTGTAAATGCTTCTGGTCATGTTTGCATGTGGGACCTTGAATGGATTAATACTTTTAAAAATTTGAATTTATATCTAACTATTCAGAGTAAATTTTGTGGTATGCATAAATCCATTATGGTCATATATTTATGATGAACCTAAAATAGTGATTGTCGATTGGACCAAAAGTTATTTCATTTGGTCAGCCATCCAGCATCTTTTGCTCACTCTGTCATAGCATATCTGTCTGAC